ATTCAGAAACAGAAGCTGTGTTTAGAACTGACATCTAAAAAAAAAAAAAAAAAAAAAGGGCATAGCCTTTAGCATCATGTATAGCCATCACAACATTTTCTATACGTATTGGAAGTCAGAGGACCTATAGTAGCGGCTGTTCATCAACGAATAGGCCTTTAGAACTGCGGTTAAAACTTCCAGTCACCGAACTTGCGGACACTGATTCAGAAACAGAAGCTGTGTTTAGAACTGACATCTGTTGCCTTAACTGTTTATCGACGGATAGGCAGTTAGAGAGCTGCGGTTAAAACTTCCGGTCATCGGACTTGCAGACATTGAGACAAAGCTGTGTTTAGAACAGACATCTGTTGCTTTAAACCGCCAGTACACGACCCCAGCCTCGCAGAGAATTCATCTGCTGCGAAAATATTGGAGGCTTGGGGTTACTGCACCACAATGGCTGGCGGCGCCACCAAAAAAAGAAAAGTGCGCTGTTGGCAAGTCCGCAAAGCTTGGTGCGTAGTACAGAGCGCAGCTCCGCCAGGACCAGGTCTACTATTTGTTTTAAAAAATTTGTGGTTTCCAACATCGATAGAAGTGCTGTTTGCCTTTGCGGCAAAAAAAAAAAGAAAAAAAAAAAGAGAACTGAAATCTGTTGTCCAACACATACTTGGGATTACTCACCCGACCATGCACGATAGACTTTAAATTTCTTTTTCCGCTTGTAAAGGGGGTTTAGCCCCTGACATATATTGCTTTGATTCATCTAATTCCATCAGGATTCGAACTGCTGAGCTGTTTGCTAAGTACTTCCATGTGTGTACCATTCACCCACATGGGCTGGGTTATGCATAATAAAATTGCCCCTACTCTTTTGCTTTTTTTTTTTTTCCTGTGGGTGTGTGTGCGTGGTGTCATGTTTGCTGTACACAACTCCACAAAAAAAAAAAAAAAGCACAACTGTGCCAGACTGTTCCATCGAATTTTCATCGACTCATCAGCACGTTGATCATCGGCAGTCTGCGTAGAAAGCATTTGACTGATGGATAAGAACTCACAGCGTCGCCCAGAGTTAGAGATACCCTCCCAACCTTGAGAGAGAAAAATAGTCGACTTCACTCACACCAGCCCTGCAATCCTAGCAGACTGTTGGTTCAGATCCCTGACAAGAATAGCAGTATGTCTAAGAAACTTGTCTTTTTTTTTTGTGTGTGTGTGTGGTCAAGTTTGCTGTACACAACTCCACAAAAACCGTAGGACCATACCAGACTCTCTTGTCAGACCTTCACAGACTCGTCACAAAGTTGACAAGTGTGTTTTAAGCCACCGCCATCTTTCTTTCCCAGGCAACGCCGAGAATTGAAGACGTGACAATGTGGGTTCTTCGTATGAACAGTGCTAGCAGACCACAATGGCTCGCAGGAGAAGCCAAACGGGAAAGAAAAAAAAATGCTGTGCTTGCGCTTCAGCAAAACTTGGCACACTGTTCTTTTCAGGCTCAGCAAAAAGAAGCTCAGAGGCAGTGGTGGTTTAACACTTTGTCCTGCTTTATGTTGGTAGCGGTAGAAGAAATCAAAGCGTCGTTTTTCTCTACATTATGGAAGTTGCGATCCTCTAGATGGGGAACCTTGCACGCTGGAGATGGCAAAATGGAAAATGGAACCCACTCCTAAGGATGAAGTCATCCTGCACCGTAGTTGAGGGAATGTGGAATTTGCACGGACAAGGAAAAGTGGTGGGGGCAGAACACAAGAAACCTCAGCAGGTCAGTGCAGAAACAAAACACAGAAAATTTGACAGCCGCGCAAACCCCATACTCAAAGACTATCACGACAGAATGTTGCTTAAAAATGCAGTCATAAGAAACAGCTTTTTACAGTTCATCTTAAGGTGAAACAATAACTGGGTGGAAAGAGAAAAAAAAAATAATTGGGAAAGGACTCCATCCACTCCCTGAGGGCTATAGACAAAGAACGACTACACTGCTGACATCTTAACCTTAGCGTAGCTACATAACACCAACCAGGATGATACAGTATTGACAAATATCTCCAACATCAGTTCCCTCTCTC